AGCAAAGGTAATACTCTTGCGTAATAGGGTAACAAGGGTGGGTATCGCAAGTTTGGTTGGTTGGTGTGGACGTGCCCCTGATTGGCCACAAAGCAAAAAGACTGGGGAAAAACCCCACGCGACAACCAAGCCACACCATGGTGATCGCAAACCTACGGTGCTGGGTTTCGACACGTTCTGTTTTGGGTTTCCGTGTTTTGGGTGTGTCGCCGGGCACGTGCCAAGTCGGTTGGCGACGTATTTTAGGTTTGAGGGGTTGGTATGGGGGTTCCCCCAGCCTGCAAGTTTGGTTGGGTTTTGGGCCTGGTTCTCTGTTGTGTTCGTCAAACCCCAGCTCTCGCGACTCCGAATTTCGTACCTCGCTACCCAGTCCCCGCCGCGCCTGTCTGGCCAAAGGTAATACCTTCAGAAATATGAGAGGGGGGCTTTAAACACATTGATTTGCTTACGTGATGACGACGCAGAGCCATTCCTAGCAGAGAGTTCCAGTGCATGCTGGAACTAACGTTGAGCTCGAGACGGGACGGAGCAGCTCTATCATCGTTCCCTAACGTTGACGGCTGCAGGCCGCAGTCAGCCCAGAGACACGACATCGAGGAATGACGGACGGTGGAAAGCCGTATGCTGCTGACGGAAATGCGGGAAGAGATTGATGTGACGTCGACTCGAATATTCGCTATTGCGAATCTTGTACAGAGTTCACTAATGCAAACTTACATAAAACTCCTCTCAACCCATATATTTCATCAAACCAGAGGTCGATGTTGCATTCTTCAAATACATAACAAATATCTGGTATGTACATGCATCAAAATTATCCTCTCTACTGGTATCCACAAGCAAACTGCCCCCCTGAGGCGTTTACCGTGCAAGGTACTAGTGGCTGATGGAGGCATGATCAGGCAAACTACTTGTCTTGCTCCGTAACTCCGATTTTTTCCAGAACTCCCCCCCACACGTGTATTTGCGTTTTCCCCAACAGTGACTTCATCTGTAAGCTGCTTCCTCTGACTCCATCCTCCTGACCTGGCCCAATATTTTCCAGTCTCTTCGCAACATTCTCTTGTCCTGCCATAGCCGGCACTGGTCAACAGGTGAGTTTCCATCAGCTACTGCATTGCGTCGGAAATGCTGGGGTTTACAGCTGACATCAGCTGCCGATGCTGACATCAGCCGTCGATGCTGACATCAGCAGCTGCGGCTGCCGTCCCCCAAAGCTCGTAGGAAGTCCCTGATAACATCCTTCCCCTTGATGAGGTGGCGCCATCCCAGCCGTTCATTCTGCAGCGTATCAGAGAGGGTGGAAGGGTATGAAGGAAAAGGGAGGGTTGACAAAGATGAGATAAGGTGGGAGAATGCAGAGGTGGGAACAGCTGTGAGGGAGAGGAGAGAGCAGAGGAGGGGAGAGAAACAAGAAACAATTAGGCAAGGGAGAAAGGAACAAACTCACCTCGGCACACCGTCCCTTGCCACTCAGACAAAGCATTCTCGAATTTGTTGCCACCACCTGAAAAGCCCTTCCACACCCACCTCAAGCACGCTGCCATCTGTTGCCACCACCTGAAACCCCTTCCACACCCACCCACTTGATGCACACTGCCGCCGGCTGCCTCCACTGGAAAAGACCTCTACCACCCACCTGAAGCGCACTGCCGTCTGTGGCCTGGCTGATGGGTATCTTGATGGCTGGAGCACCCAGCGCCGATTCCAGGAACGGCACCACCGGCATTGTGCCTCCTTCTCTAATGTACCTGTGGGTGAGGACGGAGGGCATTTGGGAGTTCGATTGATGGCTGGCTGTAGCCTGGCTGATGGGTATTTTGATGGCCGGCGCTCCCAGGGCTGACTCCAGGAGCGGCACCCGGCATCGTGGCTCCCTCTCTAATGTACCCGTGATATACCTTCTGTTGTTCTCTGGGCACCTCACAATCAACACCTCTTTCTCGGGCCTTGCTCTACTGTTCTCAGGGCACCGCACACAAGGTTTACCCTCGACACCTCTCCCTTGTGGACCCTCACACAAAGCCGGACTTGCCTTCTCTCACAGAACCACTAGCATGCCTTGTTTGACGAGGTTTAACGAACAACGGACCTCGTAGCAGAAGTACAGACCATGTTTCATTGGCTAAAATTCCAGAAAATAACACGAGGAAATTCCTAGGAGGAAATGTCTGAAAGCTTGAGCTTACATAGGGGGTAAGTCCCAGTGTCTTCGAATGCACTTCTCAGCGAGCTGGTAGAAGGAGCAGGAGGGGTCCGCTAACCACCTGCATGGGAACGGCGGGAAGGAGAGCAAGAGATGGTGGCTGTCCAAACTTGCCTGGTGTGTGCTTGAGAATGTGGAAAATGTATGTGTGAGTTCCTTGGCATATCCTCTGTGTGTGCGCGCGTTTTTGTGTGTATGCGTGTTTGTGGGGGTGTGTGTGTGGGTGCACTTGTGCGGATGTATGTTTTTGTGTGTATGTGTGTGTGTGTGCACGCGCGTGCGCGTGCACGTGTGCGTGTGCGTGCGTGCGTGCATGCGTGCGTGCGTGTGTGTGTGTGTGTGTGTGTCTGTGTGTGTGTGTCTGTGTGTGTGTGTGTGTGTGTGTGTGTGTGTGTGTGTGTGTGTGTGTGTTGTGCATGTGCATGCACAACACATCAACCACACCCACCAGTCAGCCACATAGTCCACGTTAACAGCCACCGTGTTCCCTGCAGACCGCAACTTGCCAAACTGGTGAGCCACGTGCATCCACATGTCTGTCTTCACATACCCACTCACCAGTTATTCTCACACACTCACCAGTCGCCCACATGCCACTCACCAGTCGCCCACGTGCCACTAACCAGTTGCCCACATGCCACTCACCAGTCGCCCACATGCCACTCACCAGTCGCCCACATGCCACTCACGAGTCGCCCACGTGCCACTAACCAGTCGCCCACCTGCCACCTAAGTTGCACTAAACGCTCGAAATCCGCAGCGTTTGTCGTATATACGCTATGCGCTACGTATATACGCTACGCTATACGAGCGTATAAACGCTATACGTTCGGCTGAAATTTCGGGGGCAGCCTGTCGAAAAAAAACCCAAAAAAACCGATCGCCACTTCGCGACGTGGCGAAGCCAGCCACACTATCCCGAAATGTCGAGACCCCAAATTTTCGCCCAAAACCAACTTCCAATCAATCTGCCCCCCCCAACTGCACTGCACCCCAAGGCATCTACCTATCCCAACCAAACCTAAAACGTGCCCTGAGTCCCTCTACCACCAAACACACTATACCTAAACCAGATCTCTTAACTTACCAGCCGCGTTAGGCGGCAGATTAAGCTACGATCTAACCTTAGGGAGCGCCGCGTCGAGTCGTTTTTTAGGCAGCGCAATGTCAACCCCCCAGGATCCTCCTGTCATAGCTGCAGCAGCTTCCGAGTCGTCTAACAAGTACGCACCTGATAGTACTCATGAGGTTTACAAGCACTTCAAGCTCTTGCTTCCTCAGCCTGGTGGAGGCGCGCAGACGTATGAGTGCAGGTTCTCTGTTACTTTGTTGCAATGAAAATCTATGCCTCACACTACACTCCCTAGGCGCGGTTTTTTTCCCTGCCCGGGGTAAAAACTTTCACCTGCCCGAACAAGCGTATACCTAGCGTATACTAGGCCCCAAAAAATCGTATAGCGTGTATACGCTAATGTTTATACGCTAGCGTATCAAACGCCATACGCGTTTAGTGCAACTTAGCCTGCCACTCACCAGTCGCCCACATGCCACTCACCAGTCGCCCACGTGCCACTCACCAGTCGCCCACATGCCACTCACCAGTCGCCCACGTGCCACTCACCAGTCGCCCACATGCCACTCACCAGTTGCCCACGTGCCACTCACCAGTTGCCCACCTGCCACCCACCAGTCGCCCACGTGCCACTCACCAGTCGCCCACAAGCCACTCACCAGTCGCCCACATGCCACTCACCAGTCGCCCACGTGCCACTCACCAGTCGCCCACATGCCACTCACCAGTTGCCCACGTGCCACTCACCAGTTGCCCACCTGCCACCCACCAGTCGCCCACGTGCCACTCACCAGTCGCCCACAAGCCACTCACCAGTCGCCCACGTGCCACTCACCAGTCGCCCACATGCCACTCACCAGTCGCCCACATGCTCCACGTTGACAGCCACCGTGTTGCCAGCCGATCGCAGCTTGGCAAACTCGTGAGCCACGTGCGCCCTGAACCGGTGCACCAGGCGGTCGGGGTTCTGGTTGGGCACGTGGCGGATCACCACCTGGCGTGGGGAATAGGAGGGGAAGCAGCGGGTGTGTTAAATTTGGCCGAGTCGAGAAATCCAAAATATAAGCCACGTGCGCCCCGAACCAGTGCACCAGGCGGTGGGGGTTCTGGTTGGGCATGTGGCGGATCACCACCTGGCGTGGTGTGGAAAGAGGGGTGAGAGTGGAAGGGAGAGGAAGGAGGCGGATTTGTGGTGTACACAGCAAGAACCGGGCTTTAAAGCCGGTGGTCCAAAACGTGCAAGATTATTAATCATGACCAGGCAAAACGTGGGGCCAAGCAGAGAGCAGGGGCGTTGTGCTGTGGTGCGAGATGACGAGTGTACCTCGCTAACGAGCGAACGTCGCAAAACCATACACGACAAGTACTCTTTTGACGAAACCACATAAACCAATCAGGGCCTAAAAAAAAATCGAACAAGCAAACTCACAGCCAATAAAGAATGACAGAAGGGGATGGGTGGGGCAGGAAAGGTGAAGGAGTGTGTAATGAGTCAAAAATCGACTCATTACACACGGGAAAGGTGAAGGAGGGGCGCGCTAGGCGCGGAGGGGGGGGGAAGAGGGGGGCGAGGGGGGGGGGAGGGGAGGGAGGGGATGAACACCAAGAACAGCGGGAAGGCAGGACGTATCTCTGGGTTGCGCAACCTGGGCGAGTTGCGCAACTGGCGAAAGTACACCCAAGTATTCGTTTGCATCGTATATATTAGAGTTGCACTTATGTTACAACCACCCCCAAGTTTGGGACAGGCCTGTAATGTCGCACAGAGGATGAGTCCCGCCGAACGTAGAATTCTCAGGCAAGCGACTGTACAGTTTTGCGTTACGGTCACCACGCAGATAAAACAGTCCTGTGGCCCGAAAAGAAATCGCCGATTATAAAGAAGACTTGGTGTATCGTCAAACAAGCTGGCGTACAGACTGAAAGAAATGCGCAATGCGTGGTACAACTAAGATCACGAGGGTAGTCTCAAACGGAAGTCCGAACTTTTAATGCGGTAGTAGACGTTTATACAGTTTCCAGAACGATCAAGTGCGCTCAATAGGGTTATTTTCGCGAGTTCAAGTCTCGAACCTCACTTGATCCGAGATGTACCACGCCCTCACTTGAACCTCATGTGCGCTGTGCCTGGTGCGTTCGCTGCCTAGGGCGTAGTGGCGCAGGGCTGGGTTTGCACTTCGAAAGTCCCAAAATGTATGGGCGGATGTTTCAAGTTTATTTCCGCCCAAACTCATGGTGTGACGGGGGCAGGGGCGGAATCGGCTGGGGGTGGCGCAAGTCTATCAGCTGCTTCCCGTCGTTTTGGTGCGCGACTTTGGTTTTTGCTCTCGTTTTGGGGAACTGGGTTACCAATCCGGGGGTTTCAAGATTAAGGAACTTGAAACGTAATTTCTGCAATTTGGGTCAACGGCTTTACGGTGCCTTGAGACAGGGCACTTGCTTGGAGGAGGTTCGGAACCGCATTACAAATCTGCTTCAGAAGCAAAAGGGTTATACCCCTGGTAGAAGCCATAAACCGGACAGAAAGGCACACCATAACAGAGGCCTGGCAGAGGCTAAGGACATACCCTGGCAGGGGCTTGGGGACATGCCCGGGCAGGGGCTTGGGGACATGCCCTGGCAGGGGCTTGGGGACATACCCTGGCAGGGGCTTGGGGACATACCCTGGCTGCCTGGCAGGGGCTTGGGGACATGCCCTGGCAGGGGCTAAGTGACATACCCAGGCAGGGGCCAATGGACGTACCCATGCAGAGGTGGTGCTGGGAATGGAGACCCAAGAGGGCGAGCAGGAGGATGCCAAGAATGCTTGAGAGGGAGAGCACGCATGCACAGTGGGAGGGGCTAAGAGGCGTACCCTGGCGGAAGCAGCTTTGGGAATGGAGGACCAGGAGGGCGAGCAGGAGGGCGAGGTGGAGATCCCCAGCACGCTGAGGGAGGGGCTGCGCCAGCAGCTCTGCAAGACCTCCCTGGGCGTGCCTCCTGTCACCGACCGCAGGCCGTTGCGCACCTGGTTGGAAGGAAAAGGAAAAGGGTAAGGGACGGTCATGGAATGATACACCAGGGACCAGGGTGAGTACGACAGGAGAGGTGCCAAGCACGCTGAGGGAGGGGCTGTGACAGCAGCTCTGCAGGACCACATGCGGCGTGCCTCCTGTCACCGACAGCAGACCGTTGCGCGCCTACTTGAACAAAGAGACGCAGAGATGGAAATAGCCGAATGAATCCCCCTCTGTAGGAGTCAATGCTGAGCCTATACAAACCAACATTGAATGGAATCCTCCTCACTTCCTATACAAACCAACACCCTGAAGCGCTTCCCTTGGCATGCTATCTGCCACCTCCCACCTCCCACCTCCCACCTCCCACCTGCCACCTGCCACCTGCCACCCACCGTAGGCCGTTGGTTGCCTGATGGGGGAAACGAAGAGATGAGATGAGATGAGATGAGATGAGATGAGATGAGATGAGATGAGATGAGATGAGATGAGATGAGATGAGATGAGATGAGATGAGATGAGATGGGGACGAATCAACCCAGCAAGGCAGGTACTCAACCTGCCGAAAACATGTATCCAAATTGCAACCTGTTTTTGAGAATTCTCAAAAACACCCTGCAAAATCAACTATCCAGGCTACGCAAAGCAGGTACTCAACTTGCCAAAAACATTTATCCAAATCTCAACCGAAGCCACGTGGAAGGCCAACCGAGATATATACGGATCACCTGCTTTTACAGCCCAGATTAAGTTTTCACATCAGCCGTACCTTGATTTCACATCAGCCGTACGGTCTCACCTTGTACTCCCCTAATCTGAAGTGCAATCCCTGGCACAGTGCCTCTTCCGGTTCTTGATTCAACTAAAAGACATGCCTCCCTGTTTCAGAACCAGCCATACCTTGACGTGCAACTCCCAGTAACACGCCTCCTCCTGCTTTTGAGTTGACTCATTCAAAAACTTGAGCTCTTCTCATGCATGAGAAGTCCAGCCATACCTTGTATTCCTCCAGTCTGAAGTGCAGTCCCTGGTACAGCGCCTCCTCCTCCTCATCCAATGGCTTCACGTCGTCATAGAACCCTGAAACAACGAAGGCCGGAAGGTCAAGAAAAACAGTTTGATCAACAAATGAGAAATATGGCCATGGATGCAAATTGTTCATAGGCAGAGTTAGATGAAGAGAAAATAGCGCTAACTCCTGTCAAAATCCACCTGAAACCAGCCACACTGTTGAATTCACCTGAAACCAGTCACTCTGCTGAATCCACCTGAACCCAACCTGTCTGTTGAATTCACCTGGGATGAGGATCATGTTGTTGGAGTCCACTAAATTCGACAGCACGGTCACCAGGTCGTTCACAGGCTCGTTGAACGTGCCTCCGTGCGTGCCCGAGTGCAGGTCCTTCAGTGGGCCAGTCACCGACACTGTCAGGCAGATGAGCCCCCTCATGCCGTAGATGAGGCACGGGTGGTGGTCACTGGGGCAGGTAAGGGGAGGATAGGGACAAGCGAGACATTAGCATGGTAACACGAGCGGCAGGCTCGTGGAGCGTGCCTCCGTGCGCGCCTGAGTGCAGGTCCTTCAACAGAGGAATGCTCAATGATACTGTGAGGCAGATAAGACCCCTCATGCCACAGATGCGGCATGGGTGGCGGTCGCTGTTCAATGAAAGCACGGATGAGGGAAGAGAGGGAGACGCACTTGCACCCGTGATGAACGTCATCACACGACAACTGCGCTAACAGCACTCTAATCTGATATCACCTAATCCAAATAGCCTTACAGCAGGCGCTGTTTCTAGAATGGAAACCAAAAAGTGTGGTAAGGAAAACAGCCAGCTCCCTCACCTGCTGCATGCCCGCCTGACCTAAGCCTTACACTCACCTAATCCACGCCCCATCGCTGCTGAGAATAAGGCCAGTGCCCTCAAACCAGTCCAGGTTGCTGTACACCGCCTCCTTAAAGCCCTGCAGGTCGAACGGGAGAAGGGCAGGGGAGGGTTGGGGGGAGGAAGGGCGACAAGGTGCACTCAAACCAGTCAAGGTTGAGATTGGAAACCAAGTATACCGCGTCCTTGAAGTCCTGAGAAGTTGGAAAGGGGGGGGGGGGAGGAAGAGGGGAGGAAGGTGGGGATTGTGGGAGTTCAAAGCAGTCGAGGTACCGGCATAACGCCTCCATTAAGACCTAGGAGGAAGGAGGGGGGAGGCGTGGTGGGTGTGCTTGTGTGTGGGCGGGGGGCAGGAGAGGGGAGGGGAGGGGGTGATGAAAAAAGCAACAAAAAAAACTAGCTCCAGGCCTCCTTCAAATTTTGGGGTGGGGGGAGGGGGGGGAGGGGGGGGAAATGGCTCTGTTTGCCTCCTTGAAATCCTGAGAGAGGGGAGGAGAGTGTGTGTGGGCAAGAAGCGGGGGAGGAGATTTAAGAAAAAAAGGGAAGGAGGACAGGGAAAGGTTACGAGAACAAGGAACTGAAAAGGAAGCTGCCTAAAGAGGGTGCTGGAATGAATGAAACTGACTGACTGACTGACTGACTGCTGGTGTTTATAACGACATTTAGTTACCAGTGCTGAGCCATTGAGCCCCATCTCCTGTGTGATACCATGCCATACCATGCAGTACAGAACCGTATGGCCCTATATAGTATAACGCAGCACACAATATGACACTACAACAACACATAAAACGACTCATGCCATACCAGACCAGACCAAACCATGCCAGGCCATGCCATCCCGGCTTGCACCCATTCTCCTGCATGTTACACCGTACTACACTGTATGCACCACACCACGCTCACCTTAATTGCACCCACACCACACTGCATGTTGCGCCACAGTACACCACTTTGTACCGCACCACACTCACCTTGCACCCATTCTCCTGCATGCCATCGATCACAAACACTATGTTGATGCTCAACTCGCCGCGGCACACCAGGTCCTGGGGAGTAGGAGACGGAGAGAGGACCAAACAAGAAAGGGTTGAAGGCAGGTCAGGCATGGCGAGGCTGCAGGGGAGTCAAACGCAGTCAAAAAGGGTGGCGGTGAGGTTCAACATTCAGCTCGCCCTGACACACCAGATCCTGGCAAACTAGTGACAGTGAGTGGACCAAACGGAAAGAAGGCAGGTCAAGTCAAGCACACAGAGGGATGGCAGCTTGGCAGGTCCGGCCCCTCTGCCTGGCGGCAGGTGAGCAGAGAAAGCAGAAAGCACATCAAGTCATCAAGATATGCCTCTTATGCAGAGGTGAAGAGCGCACGCAATGGTAAGATAGAGCAAAGGAGGACAGGAGCAGCATAGAATGCTCTCTCTTAGGACAGGACAGAATGGAGATGAAGCATACACATCTGAGCTGAGGTATCATCCTGCATCCTCAATTGGTCCTCTAAAAAATAGAGTCACGTTTAGAGTCATCTCGTCTATAGTCACATCTGCATACAGTCACGTTTTCCTTTAATCATGGCAACAGCAGCAGCGCACCCTGATGGCAACGAGTGAGGCAAGAAGGGGGCCCTTGCTGCTGGACACGCCCCGCCTAAAAGGGCCTCAGCCTCAGCCTAAGCCAAGCCATGCCTTGGGCGCTTCAGATTGTTCCAAGGCGGCCAAGGCTTGGCTTGGCTTCGGCGCAACCATAGTCACATCGTCCCATACTCAAAGCAGCAAGCTCCGCTCACCTTGATGGCAAAGAGCGAGGCGATCAGCGGGCCCTTGCTGCTGGACACGCCCCGGCCAACCAGAAAGCCGTCCTGAGCCGTCAGATCAAAGGGGTCGCTCATCCAGCCGTCCACATCGCCCGCACCCGTGACATCGTAGTGGCCACATATGCACACCGTAAGGCGGCTGGGATCCTGAGGAAGGGAGAGGGATGACGCACGGGGGGAGGAGGTGTTGTTTGAGCCAACTCAAGAAATGTCACAGCGGCCGCATATGCACATTGTCAGGCGACTGGACTGCTATGGCAGAGGAAGAGTGAGCGTGGGAGAGCACCACATCAGGCGTTAAGAGGAGCTGCGGAGGAGAGAGTCGCAGGAAAGGAAACGCAGTGAGAACATACGGAAGGAAGTCTGATAAAACGGATGGGGACGGTGTCATGCATACTTTTGAGTCGACTCAAAAGTCAGGTCGGAGGAGAGAGAGAGTCGCAGGAAAGAAAAGGCAGTGAGAACATATGGCAGGAAGTCAGATAAAACGGATGGAGAACGTGTCATGCAGAGACAACTATGACCGCTGTAGACTGTTGCATTGTAAGGGATCATCCTTAAACGACGTGCCAAGCCTTTATCCATTCTCACTGACCTGCACGATGCGCCCGAAAACCACCGGGCTAGTCCCGTCCACAGCCACCACCAGCTTGGCTTCCGCGCCTATGTCCTCCAGCAGCCCCATCACCAGGTTGGCTCCCCGCCACATCTGCAGGGAGGGTGATGGAAGAGAAGAACGAGAGAAAACAAGGGGTGGGTGAATTGCAGCCACCAGCTTGGCTTCCGCGCCTACGTCCTCCAACAGACCCATCACCAGGTTGGCTCCCCGCCACATGTGTGATGTGAAGGATGAGAGAAGCCCCAGCTATCAGCGGGGGCAGACAGAGAAGCGGGGGCAGACAGAGAAGCGGGGGCAGACAGAGAAGCGGGGGCAGACAGAGAATCGACAGGCAGAGGAGGTGGCGAGGCGAGAAAGCCCCAGCTATCAGCTTGGCTTCCGCGCTTATGCCCGCCAGCCAGTTGCCCCATCATCAGCTTGGCTCCCCGCCACATCTGCAGGTGCAGGTGCGGGAGGAAAAGAGAGAAAAGAACGTGGAAGAAGGATGGGGTGACGGAATAGGAGCAAAGGGAGAATCGCGCACTTGGCTACCACCACCACTAGATCCTTCTGTTAAAACCATCATACGAACAAGCCAGAACTACAAGGGAGATCCTTCTGTAAAACCATCACCACGAAAGTAAATGGAGCAGAGGCAGCGAGAAAGAATGTTTAAAGGAAAGGAATAGGGGAGCAGAGGAAGAGTTGAGGAATGGGGAGCAGAGGAAGAGTTGAGGAATGGGGCGCAGAGGAAGAGTTGAGGAATGGGGCGCAACTGAGAAGGAGACTAATGGCAAGCGAGCAGCAGCAGCTGACATATCACATTCTGAGCCTCCTAATTCAGCAAGGGGCGTGGCAAACGTGCTGTGGAGTAGGCCGTCTTCCCTCGCACCAGTCGCCTCTCAGAGTGTCTTACTACGGGCATACCATGCACATCAGGACTCTAGAGTCTTACCTCCTGTACTGCAAGGCGTGTGATGCACGTGCTGCTGACTGTCTTCCCTCGCACCAGCTGCCTCTCAGAGTGTGCTGTGAGGGCTACCGACTCAAACCTTACTGTGCAGCATCACTTGTCGTACCTCTGTGCTGCATGGCATGCCACTGAAGTCTTACCTCCTGAGCCGCATTCCGTGTGGTGCACTTGATGACTGTTTTCATTCGCACCGGCTGCCTGAGAGGGTCTTCGTACAGGCATACCATACCATGCACATCAGGACTCTAGAGCCTTACCTCCTGTGCTGCAAGGCGGGAGGCGCACGTGCTGACAGTCTTCATGCGCACCAGCTGCCTCAGCGTGTCCTCCATGAGCCGGTGCTCCGCCGCCACCGACTCAGTCTGGTTACCACATCGCAGCACAGGCAGGCAAGTATGGGTACGCACAGGGTAACACAACTGTTTGAGATCACATGGTGCACAGACAGCCGGCTGCCTCAGAGTGTCCTCCATGAGTCAGTGCTCCACCGCCACGGACTCATCCTGGTTACCACAGGTAACACAAACAGGCTGCCACAGCAAAGATGGCGACTCAGTCTGGTTACCACAGGTAACACAAACAGGCCATCACAGCAAAGATGCCGACTCAGTCTGGTTACCACAGGTAACACAAACAGGAAATCACAGCAAAGACGCCGACTCAGTCTGGTTACCACAGGTAACACAAACAGGCCATCACAGCAAAAGGGGAACAAGGAAGGAGGAGGCGCAGCTCTGTCAAGCGTGGAACAATATTTTAGGCGCCTCAAATATCGAGGCATGCAGCTGATGGAAGGAAAGCGGAGGAGGAGCAGCTGTGCCAAGTGTCAGGAGTCTGGACTGAGACCAACGAAGGAGGTGAGATAACAGATGTGCCCAGGGCCCTGAAGGGTAACAAGCGGGAAGTGGTACCTGGAGCTTGACGCTGGGTGGGGAATGGGGAGGTGGTACCTGGAGCTTGAAGCTGGGTGGGGAGTGGGGGAGGTGGTACCTGCAGCTTGAAGCTTGACGTGGAGTGGGGGAGGTGGTACCTGGAGCTTGAAGCTTGGCTTGGAGTGGGGGAGGTGGTGCTTGGAGCTTGAAGCTTGGCGTGGAGTGGGGGAGGTGTTACCTGGAGCTTGAAGCTTGGCGTGGAGTGGGGGAGGTGGTACATGGAGCTTGAAGCTTGGCGTGGAGTGGGGAAGGTGGTACCTGGAGCTTGAAGCTTGGCGTGGAGTGGGGGAGGTGGTGGGAATGAGAGGCGCTCGAGAGTCCTCTGCTGTCCTCCGTGGCTGCCTGTGATTGGTCCACGCTGGCTGTGTCCACCTCCCAGTACCGCACTACACCATCACTGGAAGGAGAGTGAGAGGAAGGGCATGAAGGCATCGGAAAGGGGAGAAGCAGTGAGTGAGAGAGTGAAGGAGCGGACGGGCAGGATGTGTGGCAAGAGGCAGAGCAGGATATGGGAATACGAGACGAGAGAAAGGAAGTGAAGTGGATGGTGGTGGATGAAGCCAATAGATCACATAAGGTGAGAGTAGCTTTGACAGCATGCTGAGTTGAATTCTAAGCATTCAGTTGGTTTTTCAAAATCCTAAAATCCAAGTATTCTCAAAAGCCAATTCTCCAGCACAGGTGGTGGTAACTCTGGCAGCATGCTTGAAAGGTATGTCCGAACCATCCGTTGCCGCTCAACTATGCATCAGCAGCCCTCTGAACCCCCATGGTGATGTCAGAGTGTAAAACTTCCCTCTCTCACTTTGAGCCCGTGACCACCCCCGTGGCCGTGCATGCGAAGGAGAGGAAGACAGTCCCTCCTAGAGGGGGCTGTCGGTGTCTTCTCTGGTAAAATTTCCCCAAATTTCCCTGGCAAATATCTGACCCATTCTCCCCCTACCTGGAGCCCGTGACCACCCTCGTGGCCATGCATGCGACGGAGAGGAAGATGGAGCCCTCCTGGAGGGAGCTGTCAGTATCTTTTCTGCTGCACTTTCCCCAGCAAGTATCCCTGACCCCTTCTCCCCCTACCTTGAGTCCGTGACAACCCCGGTGGCTGTGCATGCGATGGAGAGGAAGCTGGAGCCCTCCTGGAGGGGGCTGTCGGTCACATTCTGGTGAACTTTGCTCAGCAAGTATCTTGACCCATCTCCCCCTCCCACCCTACCTGGAGCCCGTGACCACCCCTGTAGCTGTGCATGCGATGGAGAGGAAGATGGAGCCTTCCTGGAGAAACACGTGCAGGCACTCGTACGTCACCATGCTCCACATCCTGGAGCGCGGGAGGGAGGGCGGTGCAGGGAAAGAAAGAAACGGCAGAGTGTGACCAGCAGAGCGAGCAATGGAAAGCGAAATAACATGTTTCCCTCTTGGGGAAACACGTGCCACACACCAACTGGAATGCCCGAAGTGATTACCAGGTGTGGTGAATACCTGATAGTGTGGTCCACCGATGCACTGAAGAGGCGGTTGTGCGGCCCTGAAGCACGGACAGGGAGAAAAAGGCAGAGCAAACGGTGGAAGGGCATATCTCTCATGGTCTATAAGAGAAGAAAAGAAGCCCTCGAGAAGGTGAGATGGAATAGGCGCTGGTCAAGTGCGACGTGCAATGTGAGATAGTGGTGTGGCATGGTGGGGCAGCAGAGGGAGGGAGGGGACGGAGGGTGGGTGGGGGATCAACAGGTTCACAGTGCTGCTGAAGAACAACCATGGCGAATGCAAGCGATTCACAAGGGGGACGTGAGAGGGGGGCGATGGGCAGGCATACGAAAGACGCTGGGCACCAAGGGGAAGTGGAAAGCATGTGTGGGGCAAGTGACAAGCCCAACAACGACATCAGAATGTGTGTGTGGGGAGGGTGCTGTGCAGATGCAGAGCAGGGTGTGCGGCATTGGGGAGGAAGGAGAATAGCGTACCAACAAGCAGCCCTCTGAAACACGTGCGAGGGGTTGGAGGGGGGAGGCGTACCCGTAGCGAGCCCCACGACGTCATCGGTATGGCCGGTGAGGGTGGTGATGCAGAGCAGCGACGAGAGGTCCCACACCCTTATTGTGTTGTCGCGAGAGCCTGGGGGAGAGTGCACGAGGGAAAGAGGGGAGGTGTGGCAAGGGATTGGATGGAGAGGGCAGGGGGGAACGAGGAGAAGGATGGCAACGGATAGGATTGGTGATGCAGAGCAGCGACGAGAGGTCCCACACCCTTATTGTGTTGTCGCGAGAGCCTGGGGGAGAGTGCACGAGGGAAAGAGGGGAGGTGTGGCAAGGGATTGGATGGAGAGGGCAGGGGGGAACGAGGAGAAGGATGGCAACGGATAGGATTGGTGATGCAGAGCAGCACGAGAGGTCGCACACTCTTATTGTGTTGTCACGAGACCCTGGGGGAGAGGGGAAGAGAGATGGGAAGGGTGGTGATGAAAGGAAACGCAGATAAGTCCCCTTTTTTTCTCGTGTTGTCTTTGGACGCTGGGAGATAGAGTGATGGAGTAGTAAGGAAGGAAAACAGCTTCAAAATGCGCATGCATCAGTCAAACACGGACTCTTGAGTGACTACAAGCTAAAAAAGTCAGTGAAAACTGATGGGGATACTTAACCATTAGCCGAACACCCGTGGAATACCTTAGTTAGCGCACTACTCACCACTGAACAGTCGCCACAGCGGCTTGGAGGCTCGGGGCGGCGGTGCGTGGTGAGGCTTGGTGTGCTCTGACTGTTGCGAGTCAGAGGAACGGCGGGTGTTCGCATCAGCAGCTGCGTCTGCTGTGGCGAGCGCCATGACCCCTCCCTTGTGGCCGTGCAGCGTTGCCACCCACTCGCCTGTCACCAGCGACCACACCTGAGGGAAGGGAGGAAGGGATGAGGCGAGGGAGCAACAAGAGCTGTCAGCTGCTGTGTCTGCTGTGGCGAGCGCATAACCCCCCCCTTGTGGCCGTGCCGTGCAGTGTCGCCACCTACGCACCTGTCACCAGCGACCACACCTGAGGGGTGAAGCGGGGGAAGAGAAGGAAAGGGTGAAGTGGGGGGCCGGATTGGATTGGAAACATGCCAACAATACAAACGGAGATACCCTCAATACAACAATACAACCCGCACCCACCTTCACAAAGGTGTCACCAGCGCCGCTACAGATGAGAGGGTCTGCTACAGCCAGAGCATACACCCGGCTGCAATGACCGCTTTTATTGGAGTCTGTCAGCAGCAGCGCTGCCTCCGTGGAATTACACACCGTGCGCACCACTCCACCCCCTGGCCCTCCCCCTCCCCCTCCCCCTCCTCCCCCACAACCCCCACCACCACCCACAGTGCCTGCATCACCGCAACCACCACCCCCCACCCCATCTCCCACCCCTCCCTCTCCTCCACATGGTTTCGTCCCTCCCCCCTGGTGCTGCTCCTGCTGCCGTGGTTGGTGCACGTACTGCTGCTGTGGCTCCTGTGCTGCTGCAACACTGCTCATCAGCCCATTCACCTGACCATTCCCCTGACCAATCGCCTGGCCATTTATCTGCCCATTCATGGGTACATCCTGGTTACCAGGTAACCTGCCAACCACCTCTTTATGCCACCCTTCCACTCTCAACTCTTCCCCCTGCGCACCATAGCACCCACCTCCCCCCATCACACCCCCACCACTCCCTTCCGCCGCCCTCCCATTCCCAAACTCCTCCTCCTCTTCCTCCTCCCCCACCACTGCCATAAAAGAGCCTCCAGACCTCCCTGCCGAACCTCGGTACGACCCCACTGACCCTCCACCGGACCTAGCCCCGTCCAGGTAGCCGTATAGGTGAGCTTCGGGGGACAGCGATTGGCTCAGATCACCGAACCCGACCCGAACCACATGCCCTCCAGAGCCCACTGTGGTGGCACCACTGTCTAGGCCCGAGCCTGGTCCTTTGGTTCGGGGTCGGGCCTGAGGTATGGCAACAGGAGCAGCAGCAGCAGCAGCGGCGGCGGCGACACCGCTACTACTGCGAGGGTGTGAGTCTAAGACTGAAGCCTGGGGCCAGAGGGTCTCTTCAGAGGACAAAGGCTCCCACATAGATCCACCTGTGGCTGCTGCTGCTGTTCCTCCTCTTCCTCCTGACGCCTCTGATTCAGCGGCAATATTGCTCTCCCCTCTGGCTCTTAACTGAGAGGAACTGAGACCAGTCACAGAATTTGCCCCTTCCCCTCCTGCTGCCACGGCAGCTGCAGCAGCGGCCGCCGCTGCCATGGCAGCTGGCGACCTGCGATTGGCTACAGCAAGCGATGGAGAGAAGGCAGCAGAAGCAGATGTGGAAGCAGCAGCAGTTTCCAGCATGGCCGGCGCATCGGGGAAGGAGGGACCAGAGGGAAGCACAAAATCCTTCAAGCTGTGCAGGTGCTTCAACTGTTTCTGCACTGCCCCCTGCCCCTGCCCCTGCCCCTGCCCATTTACCACCGCTTCTCCCTCTCCCCTCCCTTTCCCCCGGTCACCAGCAACCCCCACAGCAACAGCAGCAGCAGCCGCCGCAGACGCCCTAGTGCACCTCACAATCGACGTCCCTGCCGGCCCTGCTACCGACCTACCGAGCGCCAGCGCCAGCGCAAACACATCCCCATCGGAATACCTCAACGTGGACAGCAAACGAAACGTCTTGGTGTTCCAGATCTTCACAACCCTAGTAGACGAGCTATACAGCCGGTCATTCTGCACTGTAAGGGAAAAGATAGTCTGGCTGTGGCCTGCCAGCGTGCACACGCAGCGGTAGTCCGAGAGGTCGTACAGAGTGATGAGCCCGTCTTGCGACCCCGCGAACACGCGGTTACCGTCCACCGCTAGGGCGAGCACCGGCTGCCGGTGCTTGGCCATGGAGTGCCGGGGCGTGTCGGTTAAAGGGATGCCTTCGGGTGGGAGCACTGTGGTTGGATACCTGCCGCTGCTGCCACTGCTGCTGCTGCTGCCACCGTTGGTGCTGATGGCACCGTTCACCGACTGGCTGCGGTACCCGTAAACCCCTGCATCCCCATCGAAATCGTCATCATCATCATCCTCGTCACCCCCACCCCCACCCCTCCCATCCTGGTCTCTGATTAGATCCCGTAGGCCCTCTCTCCAGCTGCCTGCGCTGCCTGAGGCTGGTAGCACTGCTGGAGACACACTACCAGCAGCAGCTGCAGCAACAGCAGCCACAGGAGACGCAGCAGCAGCAGAAGCGGCGGCAGCAGCAGGAAGAGGAGGTGGAGTGCCGGTGGCTGGAGGAAGAACGGTTTGAGAGGAGGAGCTTGAAACTGGGGACTGCAGCACCTGCTGCTGCTGCGGCTGCTGCTTCCTCTGCTGCGGCTGCTGCTGCAGAGCCCCGGCAGGCAGCCGTCGCCTCCCCTGCGCCCTCCTGGGCCGTCGGAGCGACACCTTGAGGCTGGTGGTGTTGCAACTGGCGAGGGACTTGAATGCGCGCGAGATGTCACGGGCCACTGAGGGGGGCGGGTTGATGGGCACCAAGAGGACGTCCACAAACTCGCCCTTGAATCGCGTCATCACCACACACGTATTGCGGGGGACCTGGGTGGAGGGAAGCGAGAGGGAGAGATTCAAGTGAGATTGTTCAGTGTGCACACTCACGCCATTCAGTATGCACACTCAATGCAAGATGAACATACAAAGCCACTCTCAAAGAGAGTGTCTCATGGATATTCTGGTCTCCCTCTTTTCACCCCTCTCAACCATTTTTCACCTTTTCGTTTTCTTCCCTTCCCCCTCTTCCTCCCTTCTCCTTCCATCCTCCCACTTATCCCCTACATCCCCCAATAGCCTGCACTCTCGTCTGTCAGCGACTCACACAATCCCCAACAGCCTGCCTCAATCTCTCCATGCCACCCCCTGAACACGCACGCACTCCCTTCCCGAACACACATGCACCCCCCTCCCGCACACTCACCTGGATCCAGTCTGCACTCTCGTCGCTTAGCGAGCCGCTGCCACGATTCCCCGCAATCCCAGGCGATCAGCGTGGAGCACCAAGTAATCATTTCTGTTGCCGTCCCCTGGCTCGAAACAGCTGCCCTTCCTCCCTGCAACCCAGCCCCCCCGTTCCCTCTCCCGTTCCCACCTGGACTGGATGCACTCCCGTCGGTCAGTTTCTCGCTAGCCAAAATCACTAGTCCCTCACCCCCGCCCTCCTGATACACACGCAACCCCCTCCGCACACTCACCTGGATCCAGTCTGCACTCTCGTCTGTCAGTGGCTCACTAGCCACAATCCCTAGTCCCTCATCCCCCCCCACTCCCTCCTGACACACATGAACCCCCCTCCACACACTCACCTGGATCCAGTCTGCACTCTCGTCTGTCAGTGGCTCACTGGCCACGATTCCCAGCAGCCCCCGGCGGTCGGCATGGCGCACCAAGTAGTCATTGCTGTTGCCGTCCGCCGACTCGAAGCGGCTGCCGCTGGCATAGTAGAGCGTGGCACACTCCTCGTTGGGCAGGTTGCAGTACTTGGTGGCCACCACGGTTCGCCCATCGGACACAACGAAGTTGAGCAGAGATAGCTCGTCTGCCACCCCCGCCTCGCCGCACAGTCGGTTCACCTCGTTAATAGTCGCCTCCATTTTAGCAACCAGCTCCTCTGGGTGCATCACAAGGAAAATTATGTGAGAGGAAAGGAACATTCAGCATGTACACTTACGAGGTTCATGAAGCGATGATCCATAAGCCACAGAAGATGCAATCGTGGATGCATAATAAGACCCTGTTATGATAAATCTGGCATGAGTCATGTGAAGTCATGCATGCACCACCTCCGCATTTGTCTGTACCACTGTGATTAACGTGCCCGTGAGTAGTGACCTGTATCCTACTCAACGACATTAACAAATCGTCCTAGTACATCCTACGCACTGCCAGGCGCTAGATGCTGATCAGGTTGAAAAAGGTGAGTTTCAAGGCACCTAGAAAGAACAACCAAGGCCTAGGAAGACCAAGCTGCTGCACGGGGTCGTGTATGAGATTGAGGAAGAGCGCGTTTCAGGGCGCCTAGGAAAAAAAAAAAAAAAAAAAAAAAAATCCTAACCAGGCGCAAGCTGCTGCATGGGGTCGTGAATGAGATTGAGAAAGAGCGCGTTTCAGGGCGCCTAGGAAATAAAACAGGAGATAACCTGCAAACTAACCTGGAGCTAGCTGCTGCATGGGGTCGTGGATGAGGTTGAGGAAGAGCGCGAAGCAGATGGCGGAGTCGGACTCGAACGAGGGGCACTGCTGGTACACGTCGTCCCTCAGCGAGTCCAGCAGCTTCCGCCGCACCTTGTGGAACCCGCCCACCCCCCCGTTGTGCATCCACAGGTACCGCCCGCACACGAACGGCTGTGAGAGGGCGTTGAAAGGGGCAGGGTGATCATTGACAATGAGAAGAGATGCGCATCCATTATTAGGCACAGATGAACCCCCCCCCACCCCCCCCTTGTGCATCCACAGGTACCACCCGCACACGAACGGCTGTGAGGGAGAAAGAAAGGGTCAGATAAGAGGAGGAGAAACGATAGGTACCGCCCGCATAGTTGACTACTACTAAGACTAAACGACTAAGAGCGGTTCGGCATCGAACCTGGCAGTTCGAGTCATTGACGGCTATTCCCGGATACGCCGCGCGAACATGAGCGAAGATGAGTGGCGAAATGATCTTATTCGCCAACCGCTCGAGGTTGCCGTTGTTCCAGGCTGGCTGGATGGAAGAGAACACGCAAGGCGTGGGATCGTCGATTGCTAACGGACCGTGGCCTTCAGGTAAATACCACCCAATCCCAAATCCATCCCCGTTAAGGTATCCATGACCCGTTAACCGTTCCTTCGCGTCGTACGACTGGCGTGTAAGCGACCTAGAGGGTTTAGTGACTAAGTCTGCTAATAGGCACGGCGTCCCTAAATACACCATCAACCGACACATGATGGCGGCTGGAAGGCGCGAGACGCGCCAAAACCACACGTAGAAAGTTTAAAATCTAAACCATCCGCCTCTAAGCCGTGTTCTAGACGAATCGCGTGATCCTAAATACTTCGTCCGATAGATAACAAACTCGAGGCAACCGTCAAGCTGACGGTCAGGAATTGTCGTCAGGAACTGGAGCTTGATTGCAAAGCAAGCGAAGCGAACCGACCTTTGACCTGGCGTACGAATTTGCGAACAAGAGTTTGCCAATGAGAGGGAGCCTGCGATCCCAGCTGTGGTGTGGTGGTTTCGAAACCAGCCAAGGGTGTCAGAACTTTTTGACGGTGGACGAATCCAGCCACGGATTTCTCCTTGTTGGCAAGGTTCGTTGAACCAAACCCCAGGCATAGGGAGCTCCGCGCTTCGGTTTGAGTGCGCTGCTGCTTTGGTACACTTGTGCGGAGGTTGTCCCGATGTCGTTATGAGCTTACGGCTTACATCGTTTTGGGCTAGTGTTATGAATAATAACCGAGTGTGATGAATAAAAATGACGAGTACAAGAATGGGAGTCTATCACTATACAGCGAGAGCCCTAGCTAGGAGAGGACCCCATAGGATTAGGTTGGGTACAGGCGCGGCCGAAAGGGCCGGATGCGGCGCAAGCTGACCTCGGGGTTGCGTCCAAATTGGACCAAGCCTGGACTTTCGAGACATCTGGTGTACGCAATGCAGTACTACCCGGTAAGGAATCAAGTTGTTGGAAATATCTCGAGGACTTAAGCGTTTCTGAAGTGTAACACCACACTCGAGGAGATCGTAACGGGTACGCGAGTCAACGGAGGTTACACGAGGGGATGGACAAAGAACCAAAAGGACTCGAAGGGTTACAACCGGAGGTTGCGACTGACCGTTACAACTGCAAGGATGGTAACCGAAGCGACAATCGAGTCGCTGTGCGACTTGATAAACCGCCCTTTCAACTATATCATACAACTGCTTTACTTTCCTACTTTCTATATATTGCTGTATGCTTCTTCTTTTAATCAATTACTTGTTCTCACATACTAGTACAAGGGTTCAACTACTCAACTTTCGCTGCACTACTCAAGTCTCCTTTTTACAACTGGACTTAGTCTCTGGAAAGATCCTAAGGGCTATTTCTCAGCCCAACATGGTACGGGAGCTGGTCAGAGACCAAACTCCCGGCAACAACGTCTATCTGTCAACTTATACATATTAGCTATGTAGAAGTTATAGGCTAGACTGAGGTATGCTTCTAGTGAGTACAACCAACTAGTATTTGTTCTAGGTTTCCACTTCTAGTCATTCATTCAGTTCTTACTTTAACATGGTATCACGCGTAGGTTAGAATCCCCCACCTACCGCTTCCGCCCGTACCCTAGCTAGGCCTCGTCGTGCCCCCCCCTGGGGCCCCGTCGCGCCTCCTAGCCCCGTCGCGCCTCCTAGCCCTGTCGCAACCCTCCTGGGCCTCGTCGCGACTCCTGGCCCCGTCGCGCCCCTCCTGGGCCCCGTCGCGCCTCCTAGCCCCATCGCGCCCCTCCTGGGCCCCGTCGCGCCTCCTAGCCCCGTCGCGCCCCTCCTGGGCCCCGTCGCGCCCCTCCTGGGCCCCGTCGCGCCTCCTAGCCCCGTCGCGTCCCTCCTGGGCCCCGTTGTGCCTCCTAGCCCCGTCGCGCCCCTCCTGGGCCCCGTCGCGCCTCCTAGCGCCCCTCCTGGGCCGCGTCGCGCCTCCTAGCCCTGTCGCGCCCCACCTGGGCCCCGTCGCGCCCTACCTGGCCCCGTCGCGTCCGCTAGGCCCCGTCGCGCCCGCTAGGCCCCGTCGCGCCATGCCTGGCCCTATCGCGCCTGCCTGGCCCCGTCGCGCCCTGCCTAGCCTCGCCGAGCCTGCCTCGCCCCGCCACGCCTGCCTGGCCTCGTCGCGCCTACCTGGCCCCTCCGCGCCTGCCTGGCCCTGCCGGGCGTGCCTGGCCTCGTCGCGCATGCCTGGCCCCGCCGCGCCTGCTTGGCCCTGCCGCGCCTGCCTGGCCCCGCCGCGCCTGCCTGGCCCCGCCGCGCCTGCCTGGCCCCACCGTGCCTGCCTGGCCCCGCCGCACCTGCTTGGCGCCTCCGCGCCTGCCCGGCCCCGCCGCGCCTGCCTGGCTCCGCCGCGCCTCCCTGGCCCCGCCGCGCCTGCCTGGCCTCGCCGCGCCTCCTTGGCTCCGCCGCGCCTGCCTGGCCCCTCCGCGCCTGCCTGGCCGCGCCGCGTCTGCCTGGCCTCTCCCACAGCCCGCCCGGCCCATCTTCCTGCCTGCTCGTCCTGCCGTGCCACCTCGGGCTTCGTCTACTCTGCTCGCCAGTGCTGGGGCGCCTCGCGGCCGCCGTGCTGGAGAGTGCTGCCGCCATGTCCCTGCGTCGCTGTGTTCCTGTGGAGCTGTGCCGCTGACCCTGCACGATGGCTGACTTCGTGCTCCGACTGGACGCCGAGGGCCATGCGGTTGACTTCGCCGCCTGGCTCTCCGATCTCCGCCGCCACCTTACAGGTCAGCGCCAGGATGGCCACTCTTTGGTTGTCCATGTCGATGGCTTGCTCCCCCGCTCCCCTGCCCCTGCTCCCCTCCCTGCTGATCCCTCCTGTGATGACCGTGAGGCCTTCTCTACTGCTGCGCTTGCCTGTGCGGTCTGGGACTCCCGCGATGCAGTAGCTCAGGTTGCTATTAGCCACGCCCTCCCTGTGTCTGAGCGCTCGCGTTTTGCTACTGTTGAAACGGCCAAAGCTTACTTAGACGCCGTTATTGCTCGCTATTTCACACCCGCGTCTGCTTCTGCTGGCCGCTTTCTCTTCCCGATGCTGTTCCCAGACCTTGCAGCCTTCCCTACCATCGCAGACTTTGCCACTCACCTGCGTGCCCTAGAGACCCGCTATCGCACTGCCAGCATTCTGCATGCGCTCTATTTTATCGCCATGCGCCTGCCGGACCGCCTCGCTAGTGCTTGCGATCACTTCCTTAGCCGGCACCCGGGTGACCTCACCCTCACCGCCTTTGTCGACACCCTCACCGAGATCGAGACTTGTCAGCGCACTATCACTCAGTCGAGCGGTGCGCCGGCAGTCTCTATCTTTCACGGCTGTGCCCCCTCCCAGTGCACGTTCACTAACGTTTCGGCTGCGGTCGCAACAGCGACCCCTCTCACCGAGACGGTTGCTGCGGTCCACCTGCAGCAGCGCTCGCGCCGCGGTGGCCGTGGTCGCCAGGGAGGTAGGGGTGGTGGCGCAGGTGGTGGTGGTGGTGGTGGTGGTGACGGTAGTCCGCCTGCGGGGACTACAACTGGTGGGCAGGAGCAGCAGCCCGAGCTGCAGCAGGAGCAGCCCCAACCGCAGCCGCCGCCCCGGCAGCAGCCGCCGTCCCAGTAGCAGTCCCCGCAGCCGTGGGCCCGTCTCCCGCCTGGCTGGCCCGGCACCTCCGGAGGTAGTGGCCGTGGTGGCGGCTCGCGCAGCTTGGCGTCTACCGGCGGCTCCGGTGCTATCACCTGCCAGTACCAGCTTCAGACCGGGCCTCTTCGCGGCACTCTGTGCCGCCGCCCGCACCCGACTGCCCGCTGTTTCCGCCGCCTCGACGATCTCTTTCGTCGTCGCTTTGGCCTGGCCCCGGACCTCCCCGACTGGCACAGCCTGCTCCGACAGGGCGTGCCGATCTTTGAGTTAGACATGGATCAGATAGGTGCTGCCTTGCATGCTTTGTATTCTGACGCTTTTAGTGTTGCTGGATCTTATTACCCAGTGTACTCTAGTTTAGGTGTTGCACCGTTGTGTAGCTTAGCCTCCCCTGCTGTGTCAGGCGTAGGACTGCCTAGCTTGCCTAGTCTAGTCGCTGCACCGGCTCCGTCCCCGGCCTCCGCCACTGCTTCGCTGTCCTTCACTCTCGACTCCGGTGCTTCTGCTTGCTTCTTCCGCAACCGTTCCACGCTCACGCCGCTCGCTGCGCCTGCTGTTGTCTCTCTCGCTGACCCCTCTGCAGGTCCTGTCGTCGCTCGTAGTTCTACGTCCCTTCCCTGTCCAGCGGTTCCCTCGGGCTCCCTTACTGGCCTCCACGTTCCCTCGTTCTCGAGGAACCTGGTTGGTTGGTTGCACCTGGACGTTTGGGACCCTGCCCCCGTCCCCGGACCGCGCGGTGAGCGCTACTTCCTTGTGCTTGTCGACGACTACACACGCTACACAATGGTGTTTCCCCTAGAGCGGAAGGCCGACGTGCCCGACGTTCTTCTCTCGTGGGTTGTGGCTGCGCGTCTCCACCGCGGTCTCCCCGTGTTGTGTCTCCACTCTGACCGTGGCGGCGGTTCGCTTCTGGTCGGCTTGGACAGTTCTGTCGTGCGGAGGGCATCACCCAGTCGTACACGTTGCCGGACTCGCCACAGCAGAATGGGGTTGCTGAGCGCCGCATCGGCTTGGTCATGGAGGTCGCCCGTACCTCCATGATTCATGCCGATGCCCCCCATTTTCTGTGGCCGTTCGCTGTTCGCTACGCTGCTCACCAGCTTAACTTGTGGCCATGCTCCCAGCGGCCGCAGGTTTCGCCGACCCTCCTTTGGACTGGGTCCCCCGGTGACGCGTCTGCGTTCCATGTCTGGGGCTGCCTTGCTCACGTTCGTGCCTCTGGCACGGACAAGCTCACTGCCCGCACTGTCCCCTGTGTCTTCCTCGGTTTTCCCTTGGACTCGTCTGACTGGCTTTTCTCCCACCCGCCGTCTCACTGCTTCCTGCACTCTCGTGACGTCACCTTTGACGAGTCTGTCTCCTCCTACCGCCACTTCCCTCACCGAGGTCTCCCGGTTGCCCCGCCCCTGTTCCTGGCTCCCTCTACCCCGGTAGCCCCTGCTCCTCTCCCGCCTCGTCCTGCCGCGTCTGGTGTCTCTCACGTCACTCCCCTCCCGTCGGTTGTCCCTGTTGAGGAGTCTGCTGACTCAGGTGGTCCCCCCGGCCCGTCCCTGCCGCGTTCCCCTTCCCCGGTGTCTCCGCCTTCCCTGCCGCTATCGCCGTCGCCGTCGCAATCGCAGTCACCGCCACCGCCGCAGTCGCCGTCGCCGCCGCCGCCGCTGCCGCCGTTGGCCTCTGGGGGTGCTGGCGTCGAGGAGGGTGTTCGTCCTGCGGCTCCCTGGGGTGCCGCTGGAGTTGGAGGGGGTTCTTGCTCTGGGGGTGT